ACTCAACCCACTCGCCCACACACACCAAGGAGGGATACACACAAGGCAATCTACCCATTTCGTACAGTATTGCAGCAGACCAGGGCCCTGTTCAGGTTGGACCGGCGTGGGATGGGTGGGTAATGGTGGATGGTGCCTTGCTAGGGGGTGCACCTGCTTCTGTAGCGCCTGGGAGCGAGCAAGAACCAGAGGGACACTTGCGCCAAAGGAGGCCTAGCCTGGGCTGGTCGTGAAAGAGGGAGGGCTGACTGACAAACCAGGCCGTCCATTGACCAGCCCAGAGGTGTACGGGAACACGAAGGGGTGGGAGGACAGGAATAGCACCTCATAGACACAATCCAGGGTAGGGTAAGGTTGTGACTGAGAAGGGAAGAGGCGAGAGAAAGAGAGACGCAGAATACGTACAGATTGAGGCAAGGTACCCCAGAACCCAGATAGTTCAAGTACAAGCGCTTGAGAATTTGACGTCGCCTACGTCACGTCGTTTGAGTTTCTGTAAGAATTGTCGGGTTGTTTGCCGATGATCTTGAGTCTGAACAAGTACGGATGGAAAGTTAGACGAGTTGAAAAAGAGATGGCAGCAGATGAGCGATGCCCGAAATTCAGACAATGACAATAGAACGGACAATGGGATGGCGCAGAGGCATGAATAATGTAGTTCAGCTCTGGGGTCTTCTTAGCCCAGGACCAACACTTCGTGCAGCAACCTCGGACGGACACAACGTGAGAGAGTCAGCACAGGGCACGCCGCACTTCTAGGTACTTCGCCGCCGAATCGCCTCCCAGTGGATAGGTTGGAGCAGAGCAGGGTCCAGGGCGGTCGGAAAGGGCGGCCAAAGGGATGCTGCGCAGGAATGAGGAAGGGCAACAGTGATGGAGGAGTAAACACCAACAGGACCGGGTGCTGAAAATATTAGGGAAGGGTGCGAATGAGCGGAGGAAGAAGGAATAAGAATATGACGAGCATCCAAGATTGAAGGGATTGATGACTACTTCGTACGGATATGTGTGGACAGAGAGAAGCGAAAAGCAACGTCACGCAAGGCATGACGAGGAGAAGATGGGCCAGGCAGACAGTGAGCCACGATAATGCCAAGCTTGGGAAGCCACAGCTGGAGCTGGCGTCGAAGCTGACCCAAATTAGAGTTGGAAACCAAGATGAATTTCAGTACGGAGTATCTGTAGCCTTGCCGAGAGTGAAAACTTCCATCAAAGGTACTTTGGTTGTGTGGGCGAAAAGGAACAAAAGACGACCCTGTGGCTTCGGGTGCAATTCCAACGGCCACGCTCATGCCTCATGCCCGCAGCTTGCGGGAACGTCAAGCGATGTGCCCCGCGGCCAGTTCCAATGACACTGACGGTGTAATTGGAGTGGCGCTCACATTCTCAATACTCGAGAGTCTATAATGCTCGAATTGCCGGAGACAAGATTTGCATGGCGTAGAGTGGCTGTGAGGGAGTAACTCTGACGGTTTCTGGTGTGGACATAAGCCTCCAGCACGTTGTGTTAGGAAAGGCCCTGGAAGTACGGTACGGATACAATTGCCCTTATTTCACCTCTAGGTTCCAATACAGATATTTGCGGCTTGCCTGCCATACACGGGATCTCGACCCACCGTCTTCTCATACCGCTCGACGGCTTGTGGGTGGTCAATAGCCCAGCTGCCAGGAAGACGCGGCTCTGATGCAGTCGATGGGAGGGCGAGGTGGTTGGTAACTTCTAGTGGAGGTTTAGGATGATGATGATGATGATGATAATGATGATTGTGGTCACGTCAAGAAAGAACTCATTGCCTAAGGCAGAGAATGGTACATATTGTATGAACAGGTCGGCGCCGAGGTACTTCCTCCGGTGTACCTATGATTCACAACCTGGAAGGAAGTTGCGGCCTCTCTGGATGGAAAGTCGCACCTTCCTCGACCGACCAGATGGACCGATGCAACCTGCCCCGTGTTGTGCCCGTGTCCAACGTGCAGCTACTGCAGATGCATAGTACGGTCTGCAGCGGCAAGACGAAGAAAACGCAAAGAACGGTCAGGTAAGCAAGTAAGGTACCTCACCAAACTAGAAGGTACGGATACGTACCGTGCACTGGGAAAAGCAAGCGTAAGGCAGCCGCCATGCCGCCCTGCAAGCAATTGCAAAGCTTTGTCGCTTCCTTCCAGTTCCAGGTCTGGGCTGTCTTTTTTTGCCTCTGGGAAGGACCGGCAGGCAGGGCACGGTGTCACCACCTGGAAACCCCGCGACTTCCATCTGCATCGCCAACTTCCATCAAAGTGGCAGAGACCTCACCAGTTCGGATCCACGTCCATCTTTCAAGTTTCGGCACACAGACAGTAGATCCGACCGGAACTCCATCAACATTAATGCCAACTCCCCCCCGGACCCCACGCCAAAATGGCCACTCATCTCGCCTCTGTCAAACCTGTCTTGCAACGCCGCTACGCTGTCATGTCACCTCCGGTCACCGCCTCTCCGCGGAGCCGGTACGGGTACGCAAGTCACTCCTATCCCAGTGAGCATACCGCCTGTTCTTGGGCCTCGGAAGACACAGCAACCCAAAATATGCAGGACAATTCTGTTCGCCGGAAGCGTGAAGCAAACCATTGATCCTATCGGCTCCTGGAGCATCTCCTCTCAATGACACCAAGGCATACAGACATTGCTGGTGTCGGCTGCTCGAACTCGTAGCACGTAATTTGTACTCCATCGCATCGCATCGCATCCCTTTTTTTTCTTTTATTTGGCCTTCCTGCCTGCCTCTGGGCTCGACGCGCGTAGTTAATGAAGCAATGAAATCGTTCGTTTCACCTTGATCCGAAGGGGTACCCAGCCTCGGCCTTCTCTTCGCCTCATTCTTATTAACGACCTCGCCCAACCCCCTATCCGCATCGGCACATCTGCCTCGACCAAGCACCCGCTGGGATATCCAAACGTGCGAGGCACGCAAACACCACCCTGAGGCTTGCAAAGATTCTTGTCTCCGAGATCCCTGTCCTCACCTCTACTGTGACCGTGTGACGGGCATTCGAGACCAGGATCCCGTCACCTTCCCCGCCGCACGACCCTGTGTAAAAGGAAGAACCAAAAGAAGGGACTTCAGGGTAGCCTCCACCATCCAAAGGCCTGCCAGCAGAACGGATCCAACATAGTACCCGCAGAAGAAAAGCAGTGAAGTTCGTTCGAGAACCCACTGTCATCACCTCTGCCTACAACTAAGAACGGTTAGAGCACTTGGGACCGAAGCAACTCCCGCGAGAGATCTGCCTCGCGACAAGGCTCGATACGACGGACTCTTTGCGCATCCCGCATTTCCCGTGTTCGTTTCGAAACCTTTTTGTGCGCACGCGGGTACCAAAGAACAGACAGCCTGGCATTTTCAACAAAATGTCATATAATCTCTTCAACAGCTTGGAGGGACATGCCCAGATGAACTTGTTCGGCATCTGATGGTGCACAGCGCATAGTCGTCCAATTTTGGGCGTCTCCAACTTGAGCGTCTCCGCCGTTCCATGAATATTCATGTGGATTCTATAAACTGGTCAGCCCCAGCGGTCGAGCGTCCCAGCGTGGGTCCGATGGCCGAATCGGCGAGAGTTCTGGGTCATGGGTAATGGCCGCGCCAGACGACGACCCTGCAGCCGCTATTGAATGGAGGTCTGAGTCTGGAAAGGGGAAGCTTCGGGATCAGGTAAAATCGCTAGTCCAACGAGAATGGAACAGAAACCTCCAACAAGCTCGCAAACCAGGCTGGCGCAAGAAAACGACAAAATGGCTGCGAGTGTGAACTCAGAAGCGCCGTTGAATCCGCCGCCAGACACTTGACGCCTCTTCCCATTCTTCTCTAGACACCAGTCACACCTTATCGAGTGCAAGTTGACCGAGCGTCTGGGAAACAAGGAAAAGCGGGTGGTGCGGTTTTTGCTCGTCATGTGAGGCATCATCCCGCACGATACTGTCGCTATCGCGAAATCGCATGCAGGGCATGGATGACCGGCTGACCGCGCCCCTCGTACAAGCAGAATAGGTTACCTTCGATCAGCACCGCAAATCCACTGTTGTGCATTGCCAAGTCGACCAAGCCCAGTGCTTCCCCCGAGCTGAAAAGCCCCTTTTCAACTTTTGAACAAGACTTTCCATCCAAAGGCGCTCCACCACTCTGCTCTGAAGTATGCGCGGTGCTCAATACGCAACTGCCTCGACAACTGCGGATATTGGTAACTCCATGGTCTCTCAACCTCAAAAGCCTGCACATTCGGGACCGCGTTGCTACTCGAGAACACTGCATATTCTGCTTCTGTCCGGGGTCGATCATGTCAGTCCATGGAGCCCCGTCGTCCGTGGGTCCAACGTGAAAAGGCAGCGGCACCACGGCGGGCATCGCGGATCTACAGCCACGACGTGCGACGCAACCTCTGCAGCTTGTGGCACCAATCATGGTCGGTTTCCTTGTTCCCCGCATGGCGCCTGTAGGCAGATTCAATTTGGAAATTAAGGACCCCGGAACCTTGGAGCTGGTTCTGCTAAGTGGCCATCGATTGGCGAGCCTCCTTTGCCGAACGAAAGCGCCCCAAAAGTTTGGATTCGTGCTTCGCTGTCGAGATGACGATGTGAAGTCTTCTGGGCTGGCTGATTAAACGATTGAAGATCTTTGTATCAAACGGAAGGCAAGTACTACGGCTCTGAGTAGAGCAGGATCAGCTACCTCTATGGTCAGCTTCATCTTCCATCCGGAGCCTGGTGCGAATCTCATTAACGTTGTCGGTGCCAAATTAGTTGGACGGTTTTGGCGCCAGGCTGGATCAATTGGCCTTTCCCAACTGATGTCTCGCGCCTGTACCCAAGAAGCACTTTGGTTTACAAACATCTCGCCTCTTTTCTTCCCTCTCACGTCTAAGCCGTCTAAGCATCGACAGCTACGGATATCTAGTCATCCCGGTGCCACCTGCTTGCCAAGCCCGCCAATAAAAGATCCAAGTTCCATTTCTGTACGGAGTACGGATGTATCTGGCCGCTTGGTGCCAATTCAAGTCCCTCAACTCCAGGTCGGGATCACTAGCTCAACAACCTTCACCTGGGCTGAAGTTCTTTGGTCAAGGGTGACACTGGCCTGACAGCAGCCTTGTGGAAATGACCAGGTGCAGCAATAAGCTGGCAACCGTGCGAAACGCCGTTGGAGCAAACCAGTCTATCCTGTCCAAAGTCTGGAAAAGCCATAGCCTGAAGATGCACTTGATTGCAACAAGACCTCCCAGGAGCCACATTGGCAGAACGAGAAGAGGGAATGGGTATGGCATACCCCATGATATCAACAAAACCTGGAATCCATGCCGAGGTTGGTGTTTTGAGATGAGACATACAAAATTAAGAGCCTTGCCAGGTTCCCAGCGTTTCGATGTTGAGATGAGACCAGACGGAAATCCGTCCGAACTTCACCACGAACAGCTTAATTTCGACACCTCTATGATCTATTACCCTACAATTATCAGGTCTAAGGTATCTAGTGTTTCTTATTCGACTGGCGGGGCTTCACGACGCCAACCAGGGACGGTCTGCAAGCTGCTATTGTTCAAGCTAAGCACCCGATCCAAGATACGGACGAATGCCCGTATAATTGCAAGGTAACACACCAAAACCTAGAGCCCACGATTCGCAGAAGTATCAAACTGACATCAGCCTGTGCATACACTACACCTAGAGCCCCATCTGGGTATGAGGCATTTGGCAGCCACTCGGCAATAGTAGAGGGCATTGGTACGCAGAATGGCTATATGCGTGGGCTTGATAGGTGTGGATTTCACGATAACGATGCAGGGCTCCATTTCGAGGGAGGCTCAAAACTAAGTTTTCCGTTCCTAGTGGAGGCGGCAAGGAAGCGAAAAGCCAAACAGCGCCGGGGCCGCGGATCAGGATCGTGATTATCGCATTGCCGCTGTTCTTGGCCAAGGGTCTCTATCTTGACAACTACTCCGTACATAGTACGGTGGCAGCTGCAAGGGCAGCAGATGCTGGAAACGAGCCGATAGGAGTGTGGCATGTAAACGATGGAGTTCCTCGACATGGCGCGCTCGTATCCTTATCTAGCGGCCTACGACGACGATACTAACCGGTACGACAGGACAGCGGCATATGCGAAGGTGGAATTCCCATATCTGGGTGGAGGGCAGCATTCCTCGGATGGCCGTAGAGCCTCTTTGAAACACGAAAAACATGACAATTCTTGGCCGTGTTATCCGTATGCGATTGGCCCGCCTCTGAGTTCAATATCATTTGCGAACTCTTGAGTCCCTTGACGGCAGTTGAAATCGCCGATGGCAGAAGAGTATCCGCGTGCAATTGCCGTTGGGGAGAGGGTATTGACTGGACGCCTATGGTGTTTCCAAGCCGTGAATAGGGCGGTCATTAATCATCTCGGTACCAATACGGCTTGAACGTTCTCTGCGTCCTGTCTTGATGTCTGAAAATCTTGGTGCCAGACAAGGAGGGTGACATCTCGAACTCCGGCGCTAGGAGCGACCAACGGCAATGAAGAGTGGGAACACGAGGTGGCCAACCTGCCTTGTGTGTGTATTGGTAAAACTTCTCCCGGATACACAGTCGGTTGTCACCAGAACCGGCTTGGGCGGAGGTCGGGCGAGGCGCAGGCGCAGGCACACAGCGCAGAGCCAAGCTCTGAGATGCAGGTAAGCAAAGACAAACTCTCTTTCGGGTCTGGTGAACATTTTCGAGCTGCTTTTGGGGGCGGCTGGCCGGCTGGTCGGCTGGGCAACAGGGGCTTGAGCTTGAAAATAGCAACCCTGGTCCTGCATGCTGATCTGGTTTTTAGACTACCTGGTGTGGATAGCGAGGTGCGGATTCAAGCACGTATCCAGGCAATACGTGAGTTGTGAGTGGGTGGGAGCGTCCATCAGTTCGTATGGAGTCCGCATTTCATCCGCCCCCCCCGGGCTATCTCCTATGACGAATTGCAAAGTAGGTGGGCTATGGGATCATAAGCGCACTCATTCTTTTGTTGCAGAAAAAGGTCGACGCCGTCGGGCCGTTGCGACAAAATCAATGAGCATGGAACGAGAGCAATGAGTCGGAGCCGCCAAAGGATGTTTGAAAGCAGTCATTCGCGTGCCAGAAGAATGGCTGACTGGCGCCTCTGTCGTCAATGTTTGGCTTGTCATGGCCCTTACTCCGGAGGTACTTGAGGGTGTACGTGGGCCAACTTCCATTGAGAGGCCGAGGTCCGGATACTTTGATGGTACTTCCGATGTACCCCATGGGCCAGAATTTGGTGCACCTGGCTCACAGCCCAAATCCCCCTGCCCCTCCGCCGAGGTATTGACCATGTCATGCCAAACTCAATCTGTGCCCTTTTCCCGTCGACTGGAAAACAACCCGTGGTCGAGCCGTGCGCAATGTCGTGGAGTTCGTGATGCCGACTAGAAGGATGCTAGACGTCTCCTGCGATCAATAAATCTGCCCAATGGTGGCAGGTCCATTCATATTCAGGGCAGCTAAGAAGAGTCAAGAGAGACGATGTCGATATATCTGAAGTAAGGAGTACTTTAGTAGTATCGTTGGCAAAGGAGACCCAGGTGCCAGCCACGCCAGACAACAACGTAGCAACGCGAGCCAGCCGTCCAAACCCCCCCCCCCCCCCAATAATACGAAATTTGGGTGAGGCGAGGGTGCTGGGCCATGTGGCGGTTTGGAATGCAATGGGACAGTCGGCGTGATGAAGGACGATACCTCATTCCACGTGTGATTTCTATGGCTAGCCAAAGTACCGACGGATTCTTGGACTAAGACGGCCTGCTTCACCGGACTCTCTTCTGATTTCCCCTTTCCTTGCTGGTCTGGTCTGGGCTGTCCCAAAGTAATTCTGAGTGCCCACTGCCCACGCTGATCGCCCATTATTGCCCATCCCTTCCTTCAAGACGCCCTCTTGAGTTCTTGGAGCCTTGGGAAAGCAAATTTTGTTGTGACTACTGACTTGTCTTGTCGTCGGCTGTCGTCCCTCCCGAGCATTTCGTTTCCTCGCCCGACGCTCAGTCTTGTTTCTTCTTACCACCTGTCGCTTACTTTACCTTTCGCGCCAACCCTCGTTGTTCTTGGCTCTCGAGATCAGTCGACATTTGGAGTACGTCTACGGATATTCGTACTCCGTACCTACCTTCGTTTCCGCCCGTCTTGCGCCTGCAGAACCGAGATCCCAGCCTCATTTCCTGGCGATTCAAATTTGGCTACCCTGCCTTGCTCTGAGCACTCTAGTTACACTCTGGGCGACCGTCGCAACCGCAAGACTGACGACGAACTCTGACCATTTCGATCATTGCCTCCCCCGAAGCGGCTGACGAAGGAGGCAAATCAAGGACTGTGCGCACGATCGCATTTGTTGCCCCGGCTTCCTCGCTCGCTCCCATCATCCATCGCTCACCCTCTGAACAGGTGGTGCGCACTTGCCTGCACCCCGAATCCCGCCTGTCCGTACTGTCGCGCAGCCAGTCAGTCAATCCCCTTGGGCTTTTCAATCATCGAAACAGTCGGTCGGCTCTTGGACCACCGGAAAGAAGATCGACATTGTTGCAATTGTTGCTGCTCAATCGTCGTGGCGGTTGCCATTTGAAACCCTCTCTCTATACCGCTGCACTTGCGACGAAACTTCCATCCGCTCTTTTCGTCCCTCCAGTCCATCCAATTCATTACCTGCATAGCGGATAATCGTCTCGAATCGTTCCATCACTATTCCTTGACACGACTCACCACCACCCCTGGCCACTAAGTAGTTGTGCAAGGTACCGAGTTGGAGCACGTAAGCCGTGCGTTTCGTTGCTGAGGGCCGCAAAAGCAACAGAAAGACCAGACAAGCACGCAGCAACCAGACGGGAAGAAAGACAAAACCAAAAAGGCAAAAGAACAGAAGAATAAGGATCAGACCCAAGAAAAAGGAGGACAGAGGGAAACGCAGCAACCACCCTTCGAACCGTTTATCGCTTGTTGAGTCTCGACCATCATTGTAAAGGGCAAAACTGGGATTGCCCGCACAACCACAGCCATCTCAGCTTTTCTTGCTTTGAGTTACCCGCCGGCACTGCGCAAAGCAACAGGGAAGCAAGCAAGTCGCAGTAACTCCGTGCTTGGAGAACAAGGACTCTTGAGACTCTTTGCTGGCAACTTCCTTGCTTGGCCTCGTTGTCCAGCTGTCACCCCCGACCTGCTGGCGCAGAAACAGAGAAAAGCCGGGTCGAAAATAGGGACGGCTTCCCCATTGATTCGCCGTCTCCCAAGGAACAACCCCCCCGCTATTGGCAGGGGTGCCAGGCCCAGACATCCACAATTCTTGCCTGGAGGTGCTTTCCTCCCCAATAACAACTCCTGTGAGTATGACCTCCCGCCAACGCCAACGACCTGCAACTGGCTGCTGTCTTTTCGCTGTTGCTGTTGTGCTTTCCTGATCTTTCACATTTGCTTCCCATCCCACTCAACGCCGCATATCTGTATTTCCTCAGTATTTGCGTTTGATCCACTCTCCTCCCTCCCCTTACGAAACAAAAACCGAGCTCGACTCGTTTTGTCGCCTGTTCTCTACTCGCGACAGACATTAGGCGCCTCTTTGGGAAGGGTGAAGTCTCCCTCCTCGAACAACATCTTTGCTGCCGCTGGAACTGGGTTCAGCCTCACCTCGGAATCGATAGCTAACCTGCATCTCCACACAGGACCATGTCTCTCCCCGAAAGGCCTGCAGCGACCTCTCCCTTCGAGAATAGGAATGCTTACAGAAACTCGCCGTCGCGACGAAACCGTCCGGACGATGTTGAGACTGGCGGCTACTATCCCGTAGGAGGGCGACCTCAGCACCAACGTGGGCAATCTGCGACATCTTTCCCTGAGACGATCTCAACTCCTAATGTCAATACAGAGAACCAGCCTCTATCCCCGACCTACGACTCGCCGGCTGCAGGACCCTCGACCGCCGATCAGCCTTTCACGAGAAAGAGAAGTTTGATTAGACCGGAGCGACACAGAATAGACAAGGACCATCCTAACTACTATTACCGCAAACATGCCGCCAACATGAACGTTCTGCCCTCGGCGACCGGAAACGATCCGATAGTCGAGGATATGGAGGGAACGACCGACGTTTCTGGACGCTCGCAAACGAACGATAACTTCTCGGACGCTTCACCACCGCGAGGAGTTAACAGCAGACAGAACAGTGGCGAGGAAAAGAAGGGACACTCTAAGACCAAGGCTAAGCGCTTGAGTCGCCACAAGTCTGGCAAGCTCACTAAGGATGGCAAGGGAAAGCGAATCAAGAACAAGCAGGTCGAGCAGATCCGTCCCCCGAGCTTCTGGAACGTCTACTGCGCCATCATCACCTTCTGGTGTCCAAACTTTATGCTGAAATGCTGTGGTATGGCCTCAAAAGAGCAGCAAAGAGCTTGGAGAGAGAAGATTGGCTTGATCAGCATCATCTTGCTCATTATGGGCTTTGTCGGTTTCATCACTTTCGGTTTCACCCAGGTGGTCTGCGGAACCCCGCCGCCGCGCCTTCAGGTCAACGATGTGGACGGAGGATACATGATCTTCCACGGAACGGCCTACGATTTGACGCGCTCCCGTCACCCTCCCGCCGATGGCGTGCCCATGATCAATAGGACCACCGGCGCCAACGTCTTGTACGACCTGCCTGAGAAGAATGGCGGAAAGGACGGCAGTTTCTTGTTCCAAAACGTCAATGGTAGATGCAAGAACCTCATCACCCTGGCCGACAACTCGGATGTCCCGACGAACAGCAACGGTGATCTGGCGTGGTACTTCCCTTGCACCGTCTTCAACCAGGACGGCTCTTCAAAGCCCAACCTTACGATCCCTTACTACCTGGGTTATTCCTGCCACACGACGCAGAAGAGCCGCGATACCTTTTACTTGGAATTGGACGGCACCGCCGATGTCTACTTCACGTGGAATGATATCAAGAACAGCTCCCGAAACTTGATTGTGTACTCTGGCACTGTCCTCGACCTCGACTTGCTCAACTGGTTCAACACTACCCAGGTCAAGGTCCCAGATCGTTTCAACGAGCTTAAGGACAAGACTACGGCTGTGAATAAGGCCATTCGTGGACGAGATGTCACCAGAGCTTTCCAGGCTTCCAGCGACAAGCAAATTGCCGAATGCTTCGAGGAGATTATCAAGGTCGGATCAGTCGATACTGACACCGTTGGCTGCATCGCATCCAAGGTCGTTCTCTACGTCTCCTTGGTACTGATTCTGGCGGTCGTGTTGACGAGATTCGTCCTCGCTCTCTTCTTCCAATGGTTTATCAGCCGAACGTACGCCGCGGCCAAGACATCTCAGACCAAGGACAAGCGCAAGCGTAACCAACAGATTGAAGACTGGTCTGAAGACATTTACCGCGCACCTCCCAGACTGCCTGGCGATATCGGAAGCAGTGTTAACGGCTCTTCTGACCGGACGAGCAAACGTCAGAGTACCTTCCTGCCCACAACGTCTCGGTTCTCCGCAGCCTATGGAGCTGGCGCAGCCCCGCAGGCTGGTGGACGCAGGATGCCTACTACCATGGCCAGTTCAGGTGCTGGCAGCAACATGATGTCCTCCAACGCCATGTACCGACAGGGCAACGACAGCCGCACCAGCTTCCTTCGCTCAGACCCCTACACGAACAACGTACCCTCAACCGAAGGTCCTGGGCCTGCTGGCTTCATCCACGAAGCTGTTGTGCCCCAGCCGCCCGCCGACTGGATGCCCTTTGGTTACCCTCTTGCCCACACCATGTGCCTTGTCACCGCCTACTCTGAAGGTCACCTTGGTATCCGGACCACTCTTGATTCCATCGCCATGACCGACTACCCCAACAGCCACAAGGTTATTGTCATTATCTGTGACGGTATTATCAAGGGCAAGGGCGAGACCATGTCTACTCCTGACTACTGCTTGGCAATGATGAAGGATCACACCATCCTTCCCGAGGAAGTCGAACCCTTCTCCTACGTTGCGGTTGCCAGCGGTTCCAAGCGACACAACATGGCCAAGATCTACTCCGGCTTCTACGACTACGGCAATGAATCTGCGATCCCTCTCGAGAAGCAGCAACGAGTTCCCGTTCTTCTTGTTGTCAAGTGCGGTACACCCGATGAGGCGACGAAGTCAAAGCCAGGCAACCGTGGCAAGCGTGACAGTCAGATCATTCTCATGTCTTTCCTCCAGAAGGTCATGTTCGATGAGCGCATGACAGAGCTCGAGTACGAAATGTTCAACGGTTTATGGAAGGTCACCGGTATATCGCCCGATTTCTACGAAATCGTTCTCATGGTCGACGCCGATACCAAGGTCTTCCCCGACAGTCTGACGCACATGGTCTCTGCCATGGTAAAGGATCCCGAAATCATGGGTCTCTGCGGTGAGACGAAGATTGCCAACAAGCGCGACAGCTGGGTTACCGCCATCCAGGTCTTTGAGTACTTCATCTCCCATCACCTGTCCAAGTCTTTCGAGTCCGTCTTTGGCGGTGTCACCTGTTTGCCCGGTTGCTTCTGCATGTACCGCATCAAGGCGCCCAAGGGAGCCCAGGACTACTGGGTGCCCATCTTGGCCAACCCGGACATTGTTGAGCATTACTCTGAGAATGTGGTTGACACCCTCCACAAGAAGAACTTGCTTCTGCTCGGTGAGGATCGATACCTGACAACTCTCATGCTGCGGACCTTCCCCAAGCGTAAGCAGGTGTTTGTTCCCCAGGCCGTCTGCAAGACGACGGTGCCTGATTCTTTTGCCGTGTTGCTTTCACAACGTCGACGATGGATCAACTCGACGATCCACAACTTGATGGAACTGGTCTTGGTCCGTGACCTTTGCGGTACCTTCTGTTTCAGTATGCAGTTTGTCATCTTCATCGAGCTCATGGGAACTCTCGTCTTGCCCGCCGCCATTGCCTTCACCTTCTACGTCGGTGAGTATTTACAGTGTCCATTCTGTTTGATCCCAGCTAATGATTGCTCCAGTCATCATCTCTATTGTCAACTCGCCTCCGCAGATCATCCCCTTGGTTCTGCTGGCTTTGATTCTTGGACTTCCCGCTGTGCTCATTGTCTTGACCGCACACTCCTGGTCCTACGTCGTGTGGATGATTATCTACCTCTTCTCGCTGCCCCTTTGGAACTTTGTCCTTCCTACGTACGCGTTCTGGAAGTTTGATGACTTCTCTTGGGGAGACACCAGAAAGACAGCAGGCGAGAAGACGAAGAAGGCCGGTCTCGAGTACGAGGGCGAATTTGACAGTAGCAAGATCACAATGAAGAGATGGGCCGAGTTTGAGCGCGAACGCCGGACGCGTAACAACTACTGGGGATCCAAGGAGAATGTCGTTGGAGGTGGCAACACCTGGTCGGCGCCGCTGGGCCACCAGTACCAAGACGAGTACTACTCTGACGCATAAAAAGCAAAACCACATACGGCCGGGCGTTTTTTCTGTTTCAATGAGGAATATACTTAACTGGGGACTTTTACGAAAAGGCGCATATCACATGAGGCCTCTTCACTTTCTGATGATGAACCAAAATGGGGAGGAGGGATGAGCATTGCGTATAATTGAATGGCTCGGCCAACTTGTAATAAAGGAGAGAGAAGCCGGGTGGAGCGGAATTGTATTGACACTGTTATTTATTGCCGCAACTTGAAGCTTTGTTTTTTGCTGTCATGTCGTGTTCCGTGTTGTTTGCCTATCCGTATTGCCTCACAGTGTCCGTTCCCTTGATGACGAGGCGAATGTGTCTATGCCAAGAGTTGTATAGAGGCCACCGCTCCGTACTCGAGATGGAAGACATCTCGTCTCGTAGGCGTAGATACATCGTCATGGGCCGATCGCATTGGTTTGTGAATGGTATCGGAATCGCGAACCGAGAGGAAGTCATTCATGAACATCGATTTAGTCTGGCCGGTCAATTTTGTCAACATGAACACGGCCCATCCATCCATCCATGCAAGCATTATCAGAAGGGAGGAAAGAAGGCAAGGTTTGCGAGCCATCATCTACCCCCCCTCCATTGTCACAATTGTCGTGAAGTGCCCTTGAGCCTTGGCCTGAAATGACTCGGCCGAGAGAACCAAAACAATACCAGTTATTCATTCATCAAAGTTGCCAAGTCGGGCGTTTGACACATTATGGAAGGGGGAGAGGGGGCCGGATAGACCCATTCATACACACTACACCATACGCATCCATATCCATACACTCCTTCCACACACACAATGTTGGAAAAGAAGCAATAACGGGCGTTAATGTCGTGTGACCTCGCAGCGGGCTGTGATTTGACGGGATGATGAGTTTCTGGTGTGCGAGGTTTTGAAGGGAAGCATAGAGACAGGACAGAGGAAGGGAGGATGAGAAGGAGGGCCAGCGGTTCTTTTCTCCTTTCTCGTTCCTCTTCTGCCTTTTTACTACCTGACGCCCTCTTCCGTCGCCCCATCTTGATATAGTGTGAGGCTTGAGTATGATGGTACTGTGGTTCAAATGAGTGGTTTCAAGCCGAAGTATGACTCCCGTTCCAGTTGACTGTTGCTCGAATCTGGGTGTGTGTCCACTCTCCAACACCACCGACAAATGATGCTCACTAAACACAATCTTGCCTCCCATCGCACATGGATGCGGCGGGATGGGCAAGGGGTAAGGGGAGGGGAGGTTGGAAATGAAAACAAAACGCTGGACGGATCTTGTTGCTGGTAGTAGGACCAGTACAACTAGGTGTGGGTGAAATCCCGGTAAACCGGTGAGATTGTGGAGAAGGGAAAAAAGGGGGGCCTCCCGTCGACGGGAACGGACGGACGGACTGGAGTGAGAAAAGGTGTGATGATCAACCTGAGAAAGAAAAGGATGTTCTAAACACCACACAGACTTCGGACCGGGGGGGGATGGGGCGCAAGAAGGATACAATAGCTGCAAGTAGCCGTGAAATTGGTCCTTCCCAGTTTCTCCCGTGGCACTTTGCATTTTATCATCTGCAAGTGTCTCTTTTCTTTGCTTGGCCGCTCGCATTTTCACTCGCATCTCTGCAATGTCCCTGGGTGCGTTATTCGCGGCAACGGTGCGGGTTTTGCCTGTCGATTGACGATTTTGCGCACGGCCTTTGGTCTGCCAAGTCTCGCCGGTGGGATTGGGAGGGACTGGAAGGACTGTATCTCCCCCCTTCAGGCTTCACCACTCTTAAATATTTCTTTTTCCACCTCATATCCGGCGTGGTTGTGGGATGGTCGTATGCTTCTACCCGAGGCGCAGGGCCACGAGTTTGGGTGGTAGCTTGTTGTGTCGGTCGTCTGGCCCTGGATTTGCTTCCAGCCCTGAATACCCGCCACTCGACTTATTCAGACTTCGGAAGTTTAGAGGCCAAGAAACGAGACAGATCTGAGTTCATGAGCTGGAGCGTCGATGACAATTATCACTTCTCTTTCGACATAGGTAGATGAGGTCGGTAAAGGAACGACTAGTAAACACGAAGAATTGCCATGTCTAATCCTGTTATTGGCAAGGTTTCCAGACCTCCAGTTTGCCAACGCGCCGTACATCATCTGAGGATACGGATACAGAATGTGTCTTCAACGGGGTCGGCCGATGGCAACGACAGGATGCTGGTTTCTGACGCTCTTGATTTGTTCAAGCCTCCCAATTCTGGCCATCGCACCGCACGCACTTACTGGAATTCCCTGCTTGTTGACGGACAGAAGTGATTTGACTGGAGCCGACAGGTCTTGTGCACTCGCATGTCAGCACCAAGTATTAGTATGTGCGAGAAGCGGTAATAGCCCTCCCCCCCCTGCGGTCCCCCAAGTCACTGCTTACACAGCAGGCAAGGGACCGGGGAGGCAGAGACAACGGGCAATGTCGAGCGCTGGAAAAAGAAAAGAATTGCGGAGCTGAGGACCGGAGTCATGGAGGAAATGGGTTAGCAGTGGGAGGTTGAAACTCGGGGAGCGCATGCTGTCGAATGTGACTTATCATCCCCCAACGGTCCTCCTGTCACGCGCGCGTGGTTGGGGCCCTTGGGGGTGGGCTCCGAGGGTCGACGGGCTGGCAGGGAAGTTGGAGGATCCGGATGCAGTCGGGCTCTTTCGGTAGGTCGTTGCGGCTTTATAAATCCTGATGAGGTTGCAGCCGGGTCAGATGTTGGGTAGGATGTTGGATTCCCGGGTTATGTCAGCTTCTATAGGTGTGCCTGGGCGAATGCGTAGCCGAAGAGCATATCTAGTCGATGCTCGTTGGATGACTCGGGACGTTGCAACTTGCGAGGAAGTCTAAGCAGCGCTAGCTGTCAGTTCTACAGTCTACAACACCCATCGCCCGACCCATCGATGCTCTGCACATGTGGCCGTAAGCCGTAACAAGGTAGCCAGCGGGGAGTAAGACCAACCACCAAAGGGCCTAAGACCTTCACCCATTGTCACAGCTGCCAGGTCACAGGTGGCAGTCGGTGAAGGTCTAGTCAGTGGCCGTTTTCCTATTTCAACGACTCACATGAGTGGGCTAGCATCCCGGGATGCCCAGACCCGAGGGGCCCCAGGGCCAGAGACAAGCCCCGGGTGATAGATCACATCGCACGTATTCGAGACCGGGCGAGTCACTTCAGAGATGCGAATTTCGTCAAAGTCGAATATGACTGACACAAGGTGATCGTACGAGGTGGGCAATGCCAGATGGAGGCCTGGCACGCCTGGTAAGCCGGAGGAGGGAGGCCCAGAGGCTGAACACGAGAAGCGCCGGGTTGAGATCCTTTTGAAATGGCAAAGATGGGCCATCGGATTGCGACCGGTGGATAATTGGATCTCAGGGTAGGATCTGTGGTGTCGAGGAGGCTTGCGGCAGGTCAAAGGTTTATTCGCGCACTAGAACGAGGTCGGGACGCCATTGTCAAGGTGGGTGGCTTCTTTGCGTCTGCTCATGACCAACTAGTGCAGTGCGAGAGTCAGTTTGAATCGAAGCCGTTGGGTGCCATTGCTGACCCGTCACAACGGCACCTCGGCCGTGACGTCAGGCAAGCCGCAAAGCTGAAGGAGCAATGCAGCAATGCAGGCCCTTGAGGCCCACGAGGGGAATCCGAGAATGGCACAAAACATGTGCGGTGAGGTGAGGTGAGGTGAGGTGAGTTGATGTGTGTGGGGGAAGTTTGAATGAGCGAAGGGCATCTCCATCTTTGCCTTCATCGGGTGGGATATCCGTATTGTTCAGCATGAAACTGCACGCACTTCCCTGGCTGCCTTCTACTTGCGGCGACTTGCTTCGTCGAAGACAATCTTTTGGGAAGCAAGCCAGCAAGGCACCCTTCTTGTGCAACATGAGGTGGCAGGACGGGAACGTGAAGCTGGCCAGGTAGGGGCTCCCGTCCAGAGCGACAGAGCAGTACTTTACTCATGCGTGTTCGGCCTGTATTCGTAGCAAAGGTGCAAGGCAGTCCCAAGGAGCCAGTGGCCCGGCGTGCAAGCGTAGCACACGCACGCCATTCTCTCGTCAGAGTCAGTCATGCATATGATATTGGGAGGTGGCGTCCCATAGCATCGCTCGTTGCGAGGCAGCTCATGCCCAGGCGCTTTCCTGACCGAGCGCCCCCTTTTACTCAGCGGCTCGCTCCCTCGTTCTCTGCTTCTGATGCAAAAGTTGAAGGTGAAGGCACAGCTCCTGCTCGAGGCCGAGTGACCTCCAAAAGATAGGACAAGACAAGACCGGGGTCCACGTTGTCGGCAGGAGTCAGGACGAGGTTGGCTGGTAAGAGGGGGTGTGCACCCCCGGCATCGGTGTGTGGAGATGTCGCTCGCCATCGCTATTTTGCTCCTCTATTCGTACGAAGGGCTTCTCATCAACCCAGCTCAGTCACAATGTCTCACTTGTCGTTCCTTTGAATGCCACTCGACTGCTGTGGCTGAGCTATTATTGACAATTCCAGCTCTGTGGATGTCACCCCAGGAATGAAGCTATTGAGGCAGCAAACCGCATCGAATCTGGAGAACAATAGCTGGCATACGTACTCTGTGGTCGGAAGAGAGAAGGTCCGCACACTGTATCCGTAGATACCTCAAAGTAAACGTAAACGTACCAGGTTGTGGCCGTGAAGGGTGGGTGGGTTGGTGGTTCTGCTCATGCAGCGTCTGCAATTGAACTTAGGCTTGGTAAGAGTGGTAAGGTAAAGTTGGTAGACGGTAGCAGAGCTGAGGGATCAGACCCTGTCACAGCACCCCGAGGATGAAAGACCGAAGGATTATCGACTTGGATTTAACCGCGAGTACCTGTGGCGTCGTGGATGATGCTTATGAGATCAAGTATCTTTCCGTGTCGACAAAGTACCGGGCCCATCATGCCTTGAGGTAAGCGTGGGAAGGTGGTGCCTGCCAACTCTGCCCCAAAGGGGTTCAGTTGCGACTCAACCAACTCGCCGCCTCGCTGCAGTTCCTTCCATACCTACTGCGTAAGGTACCTTAAGGTAAGTGTGCCAGCCTGCGTGCCTGCCAGGTGCTGCTGTGCTGGGCCGGCTGAGGTAGGCAGTAGGTAGGTACCTTATGTACTGCCCACCCGACCTCACCTGCCCTGCTCCATTTGGTTGGCGCGCCTTTTATTTTTTGTATTTTTTACCGAGTATTATTGTCCTTTGCCATTGCCTTTGCTACGGCCTGCTTGCCAACACCAGCGCCAACACCCACCTATCCACCCGGCGCTCCCATAATACTTGGTGCACACTATCGGAGTTGTCCTCCCTTGTCGTTTCCATTGGCATCCCAGCCAAAGACATCCCGCTCGGGTCCCAGTCCCGCTCCCGCCCTGCTACAACACTACGGAGTACTGCTGGACTCGATCTTGCCGCCTCTCCGCCTGACCGCATTCCCAGCCCAGTACCAAACTGCCACCAGCAATCGTCCTCATCTTTCCCATTCACTCGTTCATACGACCGCCGACGACCTCCCCGACGAGCACTCTGAATCTATACACGTTTCTCACACGCTGTCTGTCCAGTTTGCACATTGGCGTCCATCACTTACTCGAGCTCAACTGCAGACATAAACCCTCTACTGTTACCGCCTTCAGTAGAGACGTTACACACCGTTACACACCGTTCTACATCGGCGCCGCTTGGGACCCAGTGTCTGATTTGGAAGGAGAAGGAGCAAGAGACGGATCTTACACAAGTCGCACGCCTGACTGGCAATACTGACTGCTGCCTTGTCCACAGAGGTGTTGGCCCTGGAGGGAGACAGCTGTCGTCTTTCCATTCGCAGCCGCAGCCGCAACCAGAAGAGAAGACGCATCTGTCCGACCCGACCGCGGGTATTTCTCCTTGTTGTGCAGCAACGCTCGATGTTCTTCGACCGGCCTTCACTGGCTACGGCATACACTTGAAGACACCACAATGCGACCGAGAACTTCAGAAACGGCTTCCCAGCCTTCTCAGGCTCAGGCGACATCCGTTTCCTCAAACCATCACCAAGCCCTCGGGTCCGCTCCGCCGCCAGTTGATGCTTACTCCGACCAGCAAGCACAATACCACCTCCACCGCGAACCCAGCCAGCAACAACAGCAGCCTCACGATCCGCCGACACATGGCCAGGCCGCATACTCTTCTCACAGCCAAACCTTCCCCGTGATACCCTCATCCTACTACCACGAGCCCGGGTCATTCATACACGACGACTACGACGATTACGAAGACTATGACGATGACGACGACGACGACGAGGTGGAGGATGAGGATGACGACCTAGACATGAGCGACAGCGACGGAGGTGCTCCCTTGGATCATGTAATGACAGTAACCAGCCTTCTGTCTCCAATGTCCGACAACGAGGCCGAAATGGGCCCTCAGTCATTTCCTGGAAATCACCACTTCGAGCACCCCGCACATCCGTCACAAGAGCAGTACACGTCCACGGGGCCGCCTGCTCACATGGTCAACTACTGGAACATATCTATTGCAGCCGGGCATGCATTTCTCGATCCGATAGGAGCTCATCATCCCACCCCGCTTGATACGACACCATTTCATCCCATGCTTCATGCTGGAGCCATGGATGATGATGACGATGATGATGTCTTCTATCCACCCGTTGCCGAGCAGCTTCAGCAGTTCCAAGCAGTGATTACCAGCGAGGACGATATAGCTTGGGAAAACGCAGGTCCGCCTGCCCTGAGCAATCCCAACCCAAGCACCCTCGGCCCAGAGAATCCTGGTCTAACCGACTTCCTCAAGGGCTGGGCGTGGCGTAATGGTTTTCAGTCTCGAGGGCCTAGTCCTGGCATTCGTCAAATCAATGCACAGGTCTCGCGGGATGTCACGCGCGTGCGATACTCGGAGCTGGAGGGCGACGCATGCGACGCGCAGGGCATCGACTGGGAAGCCTTGGGGGTGACACGCAAGAATGCTCGAGAGCGGAGATGCCTGGACTACAAGAATTACACCAACAGGACAGACTCGGATATATGGGCTGTAAGTCGCCTCGTGGAACAATGCAATTCCGAAACTGTAGCTAACACGAACGTCGCAGCCCCATTTACCAGACAGGATTATACGAAATACCGAAGATTTCTTCAGGTTTCGTCGCATGGACATCCGTCAAAACGTTCATCTGGCTCATTTTCAGCTGCGCAACATTCTAGCATGTTCTGGACGCAGCCACGCCTTCTACCCGGGACAGCGAGCCGTTCACCAGATCAATCCTGTGTCTGGCGAAAGCGAGGTGGCTATGGATCTCAATGACATGATTGGTGTCCAAATTTCAACTTTAGATGCTGACTGCGGCATATTGATTGCGGGTACTTTCAACGGAGAGTACTGCATGCGAAACATCTACAGCCAGGACAAGAAGTACACCGAGGGACAAATCACCAGCCACGTAAGTGGCATAACCAACCATTTGCAGATTCATGCTTCGAGGAACTCGTCCTCACCGCTAGCCGCATTTGCGTCCAACGACCAGGGTTTCCGTGTCATGGATGTGGCCACCGAAAAGTTTGTTCTGGACACGCAATACGGCTGTCCAATTAATTGTTCCGCTCTGTCCGCTGATCGTCGTTTGCGCGTAATGGTCGGTGACAACTACAACGTCCTGATTGCGAACGCGGACACCGGTGAAATTTTGCAAGAGCTGGGAGGCCACCGAGACTTTGGGTTCGCGTGCGACTGGTCAGACAATGGCTGGACCGTTGCCACTGGTTTCCAGGACATGAGCGTGAAGCTCTGGGACGCTCGAATGTGGACCAACTCGGACGGTACCAGCAAGCCACTCACCACTATTCGCTCTGAGATGGCAGGTGTTCGCAGCTTGAGGTTCTCTCCTACAGGGAGCGGCCCTCAAGTCCTCGTCGCAGCCGAGGAAGCCGACTACGTCAACATCATCGACATCCAAACTCTCGCCCATAAGCAGACTTTCGATATCTTTGGGGAGATCGGAGGTGTCGAGTTCACCAATGATGGCCAGGACCTCAACGTTCTCTGTATGGACCGGACTCGCGGAGGGCTGGTACAACTGGAGCGTTGCGACATAGGATCCAGCTCCGACTATGAGTACGCACATCAAGCTGCGGCCTTGGACCCTTGGTGGAGGCCTAGCCAGAGCGGAGTATTGTCTGATGCAGAGATAGTTCAACCGAAACTATCGGCTCAGCGCGAAAGAGGGTACGACCTCTTCGATGACTTGGAGCCTTTCTGAAAATATTTGATACCCCATTTGTTATCATCTGCATCTACCAACGCTGATCCCTTCGGGAATACATTGGATGCTCTCCGGCGGCGTTTTTGGCGTTGTCTCGGCCACCGTGCCGTGGCAACATTGGGCAACTGGGCGTTTCATTTCGCGCTCTACCTCGGTTTTCAAACCTTCGATCAATCCATACTCGATGCGTGTTTGATATATAGACAGTGCCGGTGCCCTGGGGCGCTGGCCTTGGGAAAGACGGTCGGGAAAGCTTTTCCAGGGTCCGAGACTTGACAAGCATCTTCTCTTCCTTTTCCTTCTTCATATTTTGCAATTAGCACAGCGTAGTCTCTGTTCATACTGCATGGAGGATTACTAACGACGTCACGGAGGGGTGGTGGGGGAGGTCAAGGAGGCAGGACATCGGTGTCTCCTGGCTTTCTTGTCCATGGGTTTCTATCTTGGACGTGTAGAAACCGATGTGGGTTTTCCTGGTTGCATTACTTTTTGGCACGGAAGGACATGCGGATACACACTATTACATCTTTCTCTTGACATGATGGATGAAAACCCTTTGGAACCTGGATTCTTCAGCATTTTGGCTTATCATATTCTGGGGAGTTGGCTATTTTACATACTTGGTTTGTTTACTAGATTCATGAAAGGCAAAGGCGAGAAGGGAGATGGGAGATGGGACTAATCCATTTGGGAGGGCGGTGTGGAGGAGGTGGGTGGAATATATCCCGATAAAGACGTTAACGAAATACCACTTTTCATGACCTTGCCTTGTTTATTTGTGCACTATCACTCTCTGTGCACTTTTTCTTCCCTACCCCCTTTTATGTTTGTTTGACATTGTAGGCAAGTAGGGTTTGCGAAACGTTGCAGCCAGAGTTCACTTCACGGACCAACGGTTCGGACGAGGACATGGGGTTGAGGTCAGGGACAAGTGCAACGTCATGTTACAGGCGGACTTTTCCCTTCGAATGTTGACATTGATAGTTGCTAGCCCCCCGCTCACGAGAAGACAGAGAGAAAGAGATGTGTGCTGAAGAGGCAGTTATAGAGCTCTTGTCAGGCATGGTAGACATGTGGATTAGACCAAAGGACGAATGTCAGTGTAGGGTCGCATGAGAATTACTATTGAAGGCATCAATAGGCGGTCACCATTCAAGTTGTTTCAGCACATATGTAGGTAAGAACTTGGCATACCATCCCGTAGGGATCAAAAAAGAGCATATATATGTATATACACGAATAATTAAGCTATAGGCAATACATATATAGATATAGATTTCGAAACCGTAGGGAGGGATCACTTGAAAGTCCTCTACTGTTTGGGGCGTGGGGTATCCGATTGTCATTGTACACTTGAAAGGGGAAACGTTGCAAATCGTCTTCGTGGAAAAGAAGGGGATCTTTTTCTTTGTCTTATCTGGATTCATGGGATACACCTCAAGGCAACGTCGGAGGAAGGTTGGTCTCTTTTTGTTCAAATGCCGAACGTTGAAATTAGAAATAATTGAGGGGCTATCCTTTTCGTTGGTTCCGATTTCCCTTCCTGTTCCTGTCTCGTGATGCTAGTCTCTTAAGAGGAGAAGAGATCACCGCAGCCCCAGGTGCGCTCGCAACCGCAGGAGCCGGGGTCCTTCCACTCGTCGTTGCGGAAAGAGAAGAAGACAGTCTTGTCACCAGCGAGCTCCTTGATGGCGGCAATGGCGGTGGTCTGCTCGGCGGAACCGGGGCAGGCCTTGCCGTTGCAGTTACCGCCGGAGGGCCATCCGCACTCGAGGTTGTAGGCGGGCTTGGTGCCGCAGATCTGGGAGCTCTCGAGAAGGTCAATCTGGCCCTTGACGAAAGTACCGGCGTCGGCGGCGGCGGTCTCAGCGTTGAAGTAAGGGTGGATCTGACCGCCGACAATGTCGATGACGTCGCAGATCTCGGAGATGACATCAGACTGCTGCCAGACGCCGACGGTCTCGGCGGTGGTGTAGGGACCAGTGTAGCCAGCGGCGGTGATGGAGGCCTTGGCGGAGACGATGAGCTGCTTCAGGGAGCTGGCGGAGCAGCGGCCCTGGAAGATGCACTCATTACCGATGACGACGAGCTCGACCATGCCCCACTGCTTCCAGGCGGTAATGGCGTCAACCTGGTTCTTGATGTCGGCGGAGTTGGGGTCGCAAGACTCCTTGACGAAGATACCAATGATCATCTGGAGACCGTACTTCTTGCAGGCGGCGCCGACGTTCTCGAGGGTGCTGCAGTCGGTGGAGTAGACACGGACGGTGCGGAAGCCAGAGTTCTTAATCACGGAGATGTCAGCATCGACCTGGTCGGCGCTCTTGCAGGATCCAGAGGCATCCTCGGTGAAAGGAGTGTAGGTGATGGCCCAGTGGTCACCCTTGTTGCCTCCGAGGCCACCGGTGGCGGGGGCAGAGGAGGAGGGGGCGGCAGCAGAGGTCTTGGCCGTGGTGGGAACTGGCTCGGGGGTCGCGACGGCGGAGGTCGTGGGGACGGGAGCCGGAGCTGGAGTGGTGGGCTTGGCGGCCTCGGTGGTAGGCGCAGGCTTGGGGGCCTCAGTGGTGGGCGCGGGAGCCGGGCTGGAAGGAGCAGGGACAAGGACCGAGCTGGTGGGCTCAGGGTTCTGGCTGGTGAAGGGGCAGACAACGACGACGCTGGTCTCGGTGATGGTGGTCACGACGGGAGGGCGGACGTAGGTACCGGGGACGATCTCGGTGACGACGGGGTAGACGCAGGTGGTCGGGGCGGTCACAGTCGTGGTGGTGGGAGCGATCGTGTAAGTGCCAGGGGTGGGGCAGACGTAGGTGGTGGTCTCGACGACGCTGGTGACAACACCATCCTTGGTCTTCTCGGTGGCGTACGGGCAGACGACGGTGGTGGCATCGACAACAACGGTGGTGACACCACCGATGGTGTGAACACCGGCAGGGACCTTGGTGGTCTCGGGAGCGCAGACGGTGGTGGTCTGGTTCACGGTGATGGTCGTGGCCGGGAAGGTGTAGGTACCAGGGGTAGGGCAGAGCTCAGGGACCGGAGTAGGGACGGGCACCACGGGCTTCGCGGTGGACGTGGGCTTCTCCGCGGCCTTGGTGGTCGCAGGCGCAGGCGCCGAGGGAAGGGCGCTGGCGACAGCCTTGCTGCTTGGCTTGCTGGGAGGGTTGGGAACCACTGTTGATCGTCAGGTCAGCACGAAGATCGATACAAGCTTCATCCGCCTCCACCCCCAAGACTCTGTAGGGCTACAGAGTGAGATTGCTCTGACTGATTATAACGGATGACATTGTAAGTGGGAGAGAGACATACGGGTAGCCTCGCCGTAGATGGTGGTGTAGATGGTGGTGCAGCCGGGAACACAGACGGAGGCCTGGTCAGCGCCTCTCTTGAAGAGGTCAGCGTGGGCGTGACGGTGAGCAGCGGCGGTGACACCGGTGACGGTCGCGGCTGCGATTGCGAGGATGGAGCCCTTCATGGTGGATTAAGTTGCCTTTTTTTCTTGAGTAGGGGAATTGAGTATTATCGACTTTGGGAAGCGAGTGCCCGCTAAAAGAGTGAAGCGGTAGTGAAGGTTTGCGCGCGTAGAGACGAAAGGGACGACGAAACTACGTTGACGGTATCAACTCATTTGACGGTGTTTTCGTAAGGAAAGGAAAAGGGAAGGAGAAAGAGGAGGAAAGAAAACTGGCGGGACCGGGATGTTATTATTGTGATGGTGGTTAGATTAGGTAGAAGGCTAGTATCCGTACTTTCATGGGTACGACCGTGAGAAGTCTAGCATGTCCCCGGGGGGCCCTGGGCCGGGGTGTGTGCGCGACGGTGTGTGTGCCCACTTCCAGATGGATGAATGGACCAAAGTGCGGGCAGGCTAGCGTCCAATGACCTTACATTGGATGGCATTGGGCCATTGGCAGTCTGGTAGAGGAGGGAGGGGGATAGAACGGAGAGGGACTGTGTATTCAATGATGCTGGTGACACTTGTTTACCATGGAAGTCGGGGAACCGTTGGTGACCACCATGAGCTGTTGGCAACGTGTAAGAGCAACACTCTCTCAACCCAGACTGAGGGGTTTCTTGTGTTCCATACGGATACAAGCAGCAACTCGACAACAAACAAGCCCCTGTCCTCGGCAGCAAGTCACAACAGAGAGGTGAGGGACAAGGAGGTGGAGAGGAACCACTGGTGTAGGAGCCAGAAACGAATCTCAGCTTCAGAGTCCTGGGCGTCCTGGTGGAGTGTCTGGGGATTCTCGGGACCATAGAATTCAGGAAAAGCAAAGGGAAGCAAGCTGTCGGCCGAGGATCACAACGGAGACGTTTCCATCCGTAGAGGGCTTCGGTCAGGGGGCTTGAAGAACCGATACGGGCTGGCAATCTTGACTGCGCTTGCAGTAATGAGATGACCAGAAGCACCTTGTTCACGATTCGTCATGGTTGACTGTCAGACGAAAAGGGAGGCGAAATGGCCATCCCAGTTAAGCATAGTTGGGGTTATCATTTTGGGCTCTTGGAAGGCCGCAAGGCGGGAGGGCCAAGCAGATCCAGTCCAGAGGCGGACACGACAGCAAATGAGCGAGTAAAAGCGTGGTCAAATGTCCTTGGCCAACGGTCCAACCGAATCCACCGTTGACGGGCTTGGAGCAGATTGAGAGAAATGGTGTGGTGAAATTGGGCTCGACGTTGGTAGTTGACTGGTTGTGTGTGTGTGTGTGTGTGTGTGTGTGTGTGTGTGTGTGTGTGTGCGTGTGGTTCGAGAAAGAATCCAGCCTGGACTGGGCTCTCTTGAGTCTTGCATCAGCCGGTGGCGGAGGGCTAAAAGAAGCAACGAAGAAGGGACAGTAGACGATGAGCACGAGGTGAGCTGCAACATCAGTGACTATGCGAAGTATCCGTAAGGTGTACGGAGTACCACACCACAATGTCTCTCATTCTCTCCTTCCCACACAATGGAATAAAACGGGTTTGGAAGTGAACCTGGAAGGAAGAAGGATCCAATGCAG